GTTCCTGTGATCGCATCCTCTTCTTATGAACTGCTTCCTGGAACTCGCAAATTCTCTACTATTGGCAAAGTTGGCTAAACAGGCTAGAGCCAAAGTAAGATGGCAATAGGAGTCTGCAGCAGCTATCTTTGTGACTCGTTCCAGTTAAGTTCTAAACTCATTGTCATTTTTTTAAAATCTGAATGTCTTTGAAAGGCAGGTCAAACCTAAAAATACAAGTATATAGAAGTCGACCGACTGCCAGTTCCACAGTTACGAACGACAACCGCGGCCTACTGAGAAGTGAAAACTAGCACAATAAGCCTGTATGGCCAATAAACGGCAAGCTAAAGAAAGAAATTAATAAGAAACACAAACTGGGGGACACGTCGAGAATCTAAAGAGTTTTCAATAGACCAAGTGCCTCTTTTTGCAGTTAAAACTCGTAGAGGTGAAGGAATGCACGCGGTTAGCACAACAACTAAAGCGGTCAAACAGTTCTGGCACAAATGACGCAGAGTCTGACAAGTCACTTCTAAAACGAGCACTGGTCAACTTGGAAGTTAGGGTAACGAGTTAGAACGAACAAATCCAGGGTTCGGAGCATGTTACAACATGTGAAACAGCGCACGCCGTACGAAGCTTTCTTCAGCGAGGCAATTATGCTATCTGGCGAACGGAGTGCCGTGGACGGGGACACAAGCTGTATTTGTACAGTCACCCCAGGTTCACGGATGCTGTTGGATGAGCATTGGACTACCTCATACTGATGAGTATAAACCCTTGCGGATACACTGTAGGCCAGTTACCATGCACAAAGATGCAGCATAGGCGATGTTAATTGGGCATGGCAGTACAGGAACGGCCAGGTTAGCAGCAAGTACGTATACTGATGAGCCTGGCCGTATTCACTAGTTAACCCATCTCGGCATCAGACCCGCAACTATGGCTGCAGAAGGTCGGAATCATCACGACATAGCCATGCCCCGGTAACCGTCCTTGACTTGCGAGCTACAGCGGATCGGCATGTTCTGCGTGTATGCCTCTTCGCATTCAGAGGGAAGCCTCAAACGCCTTCACTACCCACAAACAAATAAGTCCAACAGAAATAATGAAGTGGTACCCTGGAGGTGGCCCTGGGTAAGTTGGATTCGTTGATGAACGTTCATCGATCGCTAACTGAACTAAATCGTCCCACTCTGTCTTCGGGCTCACTATTGAGTCCCGACAACAGCTGCACACCGCGGCTAGTAGTATAGGCAGATAGTATTACCGGCAAAGACAAGCGGGAGACTGGAATGGTTTGGTGTATCGTGGTGCATGAAACGGTGACTAGGTCGTGTACGGCACACGAAGAGTGGGCTATCCAACTGCTACTCATAATCACCTAGTCGACGCACTCGACCGGTCGGTTGGCGCATGGACTAAGAAAAGAAAAGTGAGGCCGACATGGGAGAATCCCCTCCGCAGTCCAATCGCTAAAATCGTGCTTTTTAAGGAGTAACTGGAGGACCGACAGTCAGACTGCAATGGCCCCCCAAGTCACACGAATGCGAGATCTGAACAACGCCCTGGTGAAGGCCTAGGTCACGTGTGGCACACATCGACGAACTGTTTAATTCTGCGAGCAGCTCCACATAAGCCTAACTTCGGCTGCATTCAGATGGTCGAAGGTTGACCTGAGCCCAAGATGAACATACGTAGGGTGATCTACAGACCAGTCACACAGAGCAGATATCACAAACAGACACAAACAATAAATACAAACCTGTAAGTGACGTGCTGAACCATTCGGCGACGGTGAAGAGGAGACGTGCGAAGGCGTCACAGAGGGCGGACCATAAGAAGAGGGATGTAGGGGAGTACCGCAGGCCACCGAAAGGGAGTCTGCAGTAGAGGAGGAGTTCCTTCCTGGGGGCTCCGCGCACCTTGAGTAGGCGGGGTACTGAAGAACTCCGTTGGTTGGAGTTTCCTGAGGGAAGAAGACGGACTCTCTAGCCGTGCGTGACTCGGACAACGGTGGACTATTGACAGCTAGTTGCTCTTCAGTTTTGGGTGGTTTCTCCTGTGCAGTATCGAAGCCACCAGCGGTTGAGGCAAAGGCCTGACAACTTTCAACAGGAACACTTCCATCCGAGTGATGAGAGAGGGGAGTCTAGTTGGCGCAGAAATAAGGAATAAAAAGAGAAATTTGTCACGAAAATCGGACCTATTAGTCCATCTAAAATAGTAAGGCATCGAACTAGAAACCAAGCTAGTTGGAAATGCCCCCCAGATTGTGGGCGACTTGCGATTTTGGGGACAACGTTTATGATTCAGTGATTTCGTTTGAGCAACGCTACACAAAATGAGTATTTTAAGGTACAGGCAGGCATTATAAACGGTGGTGTTTAGTAGGGGATTTGCGGCATAGAACTGCTATTCGCGCTTGATCTCTAGCTCGCAATGGCGGTACTCTCAGTCTCGGAAATCAGACCGTAACGGTGCTGAGGGGGACTAAAATAGGTTACTCGGAGGAAAAAGCCAAACGGAGTGCACATACAAGGTTGGACGACGGAAGATCACCCCCGGAAGGCTCATTGAGACCAGGCGTCTTAGTGGTTACTGTGGAACTCAGTGATTCCAGGACCTGTGGAGAGGCTGGAACAACTGGATCCT